TCATTAGAAAGTGTTTTATACAGTACATGGTAATACAAGATGTATTTAGTGGCCACCACAACCCAACTGAGTGTGTATCTGATAAACACCTGGATCTAAACACCTGTGTGAGCATGATGTCACTATAAGGTTTCTCCATAAAAATGCTCAATAGTGGATGTGGGGACCCACAGACCCATCCCCACAGGACACAATGGTAACACAGGGAAGACCAGAGCCACAGACACACAGCGGCTCCCAAGCCCGGAAGTCCCAACAGGGACAACCGCACCCCCCCCCCCCCCCCCCCCCCAAAGAGAAGCAGAGGGAAGCCCCGGGCGACCCCCAGCAGCCACAAAGCAGAAACCCCAGGAGGCTGCAGTGACGAGCCCACAGGCCCCACCAGCAACCAGCCCCTCCAGAGTAGATTTGGCCATGGACACTGAGTCCCGAGCCCCAAGGTCATACTACCCCCCCCAACAGAGGCCCGACAGAGCCAGGGCACCCAGGCCCCGGCAGACGGCCACCAGGGTGGGCCAGCACACACCCAATCACCCAGCCCCAGATGCCGAGAGCCGCCAATGCACCGGCAGCAGGGGGGCCCACCACCAGAGGGGAGTGCGACGGGGGAAGTAGACCCCACATCAAATTGGGGGCCCAAATTTATCCAAGAAAGGGGACCACCTAAAACCCAACCCGAGACATAAAAAGGCACACTTAGAGACAGCCCGACAGAGCCTCTGTCGGGCGGTCCATGCACCCCACCCACCCGACAGCTACCTCATGCCGGATCCAGGCCGGGGGTCAGAGCAGCAGAGAGAAGGAGCTGAGGATGGCTGGCCAAGCGCACCATGGACCAGGCACCCCAACAACCTCACATCACAGGCCCGGAGAAACCCTGGCACGCCACCTACGCACCCCACCCATACACACAGCACCACCTACCACAAATGTTACACCAGGCCAAATAGCCAGTGCCCTGTCAAAGCAAAGCCACGTCCCCGATCACCACCATACACCACCAACGACCACACGTGCACAACGACAACCGACTCCCCTGCCGGAACCCAGCAGCCACACCAACCAAAGGGCTGGCCATCACGACCAGAAACCTCGATCAAAAAATCCGAACAACCCAGGGAGAACTGGAACACCGGCCCCATCCCCAACTGCCCCCCCAAGGCCTGAAGCCCACCCACAGCCCAGACACCAACCAGGTGGCCTACCCCGCCTCCCTGTCCCCGAAGACAACTTTGGTCTCTTCATCTGGAAGAATATTCATTTGTTATGGTATGGGACTCCCTGAGAAAGTGTCAACCTTCTTCCTCCATCTCACCTTCGTAATTGCTACATACTGTACATGCTGTTTATATATACACA